TCTTTCTGTCATTCTCTCGTTCTCTCTTTTTCTCTCGTTGACGCAAGCGCCACTGCGATCGAGACGAGATAAAGCGATTTAAAAATCATTCGAGATCATCGTCGATGTCACGCCAGGAATGATCATAGCTCTTAGCTACTAGGCAAACATTATTTGATCTATATCCTATTGATATGATTAATAATAATCGTTTCGAACAAATTATTTATTGGTGTTTGCTTGTTATTATCGATGAACATCAATCTCGGATATATATCGTCGTATAGTCGTTTTTTTAGATTTCTATAGTGATGCGAAACGATAGGTCTAATTGAAAATGAAAACTTTATTAAAAGACAATCGACGACGATTTTCTATAGGAAAAGGGGGAGGGGGAAAGAAAGAAAGAAAAAAATAATAAGCAAATAATGTAATGTAATTAATTAATTAATTAATACTTTTTGCTTTCTGTTACATGTCAATGATAATTACGTAAAATTTCTTTACGACTGCTTTCTTACGAAAAAATTATTAACAATTAATGTTAATGGTATTTATATATACGTTTTATATATATGGTATATATATATATATATATATATATATATATATATGTATATATAAATGATTGGCTAAAAGGAAATTTTGATCGAAGAAAGTTATCTTACGTAACCATTTAAAATCTTATCGATAAATCGATAATTGGCAGATATCTGTTGACTATGTGTATCCTACGTAGTTATCATTGACATGTAACAGAAAGCAAAAATTAATGTCCACGTTTAATTCGCGTTAAGAACGTTCATGAGATCGAGCAAAAGGACGTGTAATTTATCGCATGGAGGCGAGAGATGATCGATCGCGATCGTGGCCCTGTATCCAACTGTATCCTTGATACATTTAAATGGCCTTGTTTGCTCATCGTCGAACGAGCTTCTTCGTTTCTTCTCTCTCTCTCTCTCCTCCTCTCTCTCCCTCTCTCTTCCTTTATTTTCTTTCTCTCTCTCTTTCTCTCTTTCATGCATATACATACATATACGTATGTTTTTACTCAACGTAGAGGATGAAGAAGAAGAAAACGAAGAAGAAGAAGACGAAGAGGAGGAAGAAGAAGAAGAAGAAGAAGAAAAAGAAGAAGAAGATAATTTTCAATGGGTTGGGCAGGCGAAACGATTTCGTGGACCACCGATGTAGTTCAGATTTCCATCGGTCCAATGACAAAGAGAGAAAACGAAAGTAAGAAAGAAAGAAAGATATTTCCCTTACCAGTTCTCTTGCCAGAAGAAGCAAATAAAATTTTCAAAGACGTACCGATCTGTTTAAACGAGAAGGATTCGAGCCCATTAGAAACTCTGAAAGTGCCGTGCAACCCTCTATCCTCTTCTTTCCCTTTCTCTCTGTCTTTCTTTTTCTTTCATACACACACACACGCACACTTTTTCCTCTCTCTATCTCTCTCACTATCTATCTCTATCTATCTATCTATCTATCTATCTATCTCTACTCTTCTTCGCCTTTCATTAATCACGATCAGAGCTAATTTGTGTTTTTTGAATAATTAGTTGAGAGATCCAGATAACGACGTCGGCTGGTAAAAGACACGTGTGCTCTCTAAGCGTCGAGGTATTTAATTAATCCACTAATTGCGGTCAAAATCAGTTTTCGAAGGCGGTTGAAAGAAAGTGAATGAGAAAGAGTGAGAGGGGGAGAGAGAGAGAGAGAGAGAGAGAGAGAGAGAATGAAAAGAAAAAAAAGATAAAGAGTTGGGTATCCGTAATTACCGCTATATAAACGATAGCGAAGCCGATCGGCTATGAAACGAACTGAAGAGTAACGTAATAGTAGGTTTAATTCAGAACACGTTGGGTACCTGGACCACGCAACGGGATTTGGCCTCCCATAAGAGACTTTCCATATGTTTTATGAGAACGTTTTTAAAAATTAAAGACGCCTTGTATATTATATATTATATAGTGGTATATAGGTGCACATATATGTATCTGTGTGTAAGTGCGTTATGTGTATGTGTTCCGTAGGAATCAGTAGAATAGAAGAACGATGCCGATTAGAACGTCGACGCTGACCATTGCTTGGCCTTTCATAATTCGTTCACCGAGGCCTCGCGAACCGTCAATTATATCGAATGATTCTCGTCTCTGCTAATCCTCGGTAGCTCCTCAACCAACGATTTCGATCGCTGCACCTGCGGACCCAAACTGGTGACAGAGAGAACCCTTCCTTTCTCTTCTTTCCTTCTTACGCTCTTTCGTTCGTTCGTTCGTTCGTTCGCCTAATCAATTTCGAACAACTTGTCACGACTCCGAACGACATAAAAGGATGTAGCTTTAGGATAATTATTAGGTATAGTGTAAGTTGAAATTTAATGGGTGGAGCGAGAAGGGGAAGAAAAAGAAAGAAATCTGAAAACTTTTGAATGAATATATATATATATATATATTCTTATCGGACCGATCTTATTCTAATATAAAAAAATTAGATAACAATGAATGATTATTATTAGAGAGGATATACATACATACATACATACATACGTATGTAAGTAGTTATAACGTAGAATATAAGAAGATATTATAAAAGAAAATTTCGTATCGGGCTTCGTTTCGAATAAGAGGATACCGTCACGGTCTCGTTCAAAGTCCTGCGAGAGGCTGAGAGGTTGCAGGAGCGAGGACGAGTCGTGATCCAAGCCGCCAAGTAGGAGGACTCTGGACGATCTTTTGCTTTCTAATCATTCTCAAGGTTAAACTCTACTGAACCTGCTAGCTCCTGCACGACGAAGACGACGTTGCCTTTGAGTTCTTCTCTTCTTCCTCCTCCTCTTCCTCCTCCTCTTCTTCTTCTTCCTCCTCTTCTTCCTCCTACTTCTCTTGTATTATATATGTCGTCGTATATGTGTGTATACATATATATATATACACATATATATATATGTACGACCTTAGCCGCAGGAATAAGACGTCGTCGACCTGCTCCCTCTTCTTTCAAACTTACGATTGTCCTTATCCCTCTCTTGTTCTCTTTCTTTCTTGCAAAGAAGAAGAAGAAGAAGAAAAAGAAGAAAGATGAAGAAGAAGAAGAAGAAGAAGAAGAAGAAGAAGAAGTAGGAGGAGGAGGAGGAGGAGAATATTTCTATACCGTTAAGCGATCGGAACGCCTCGTTCCATTGTCTTCTACGTACGTATGTACATACGTATGATATATACAGAAGGGAGAACGTTTATGCATACACTTAGCCACATGTTCAACATATCCTCTACGTATATATGTATATTTATACGTACGTACTTACTCACTCACTCACTCACTCACTCACTTACTTACCCTATACGCATATAACCTCCTAGAAAAGACTCTTCTCTCTTTTATGGGTTAATTACCACCGGCCAATGGACTGACTCCGTGTACTTACATACATATACTCAACGTGCATTACTCGAGGAATGGGGATCGATCAAAGTATCTTTGAACTTGTTGACACGCTGTGAGAATATCATTCTTTTACTCTTTCGTCCTAGTAGCGCGTGAGTATACTGTTAATTAATTAATCGAGTTCTTTCATTACAAACACACATACATATGCACATACACACACACACACACACATATATATATATATATATATATATATATATATATGCAACTGTAAGCGGATACTAGACGATCGTTCGGACGTTAGGAATGATATTTAAGTAATGATAAGTTTCAATCTAGTTAACATAGATTTCTACGTGCGATGTATTCAAGATCAAAGAGTAGCAGACTGCAAGTCGCCAATCTCGTTTGAAAAACGGATGCTCTGCTCTGTTTGAAGATGAAAGAAAGAGAGAAAAAGAGAGAAAGAATAAGAGAGAGAGACAGAGAGAAAGAGAGAGAAAAAGAATGAGAGAGAGAGAGAGAGAGAGAGAGAATAAAAGAGGGGATGCTATCGTAGCTGCTTTGAAATATCGTTCCAAGCAAAGACAGCGATGCCCGGAACCACCCAAGTGGCCGAGTGTAAGCAATCCCAGGACGGAATACCAGGTGAATAGGTGAGAACGAATCCAACGAATATGTTTGTCGTGTCACGACGAGACCGCGGTACGTACTATCGGTGCACCACGCACGAGGGAGATAAGTAAGTGCTTTAATTTATTCGAAACACCTTGGTTATTAATCGCCTGCATCGCAGCTCGCGACGCTCGAGAAAGAGAGAGAGAGAGAGAGAGAGAGAGAGAGAGAGAGAGAGAGAGAGAGAGAGAGAAAAGAGAGATAGAACGAAGAGCGATCTGGGAGGGGTTAAGAGCTTCGCCGAGTGAATATACAGAGTGTACGATAAATCGAAATCGTAAGAAAGAAAGAAATATATTCAACTTTGACTTTATACATCGATCAATCTGTTCAATTATTAAAATGGATATGTATTAATATTAATTCCGCGTAAAAGTATGTGTTTCTTTTTTTAGTTGATCGTTGTTTTAAGTATCAAAAAAAAAGATATATATATATATATACATATATACATATGTGAAAAGTCATATAACGATAACTTTTGAAACACCCCTTGTATCGGTCTCATACACACGTGAAAAGAAAAACAGAGACAGACAGAGAGAGAGAGAGAGAGAGAGAGAGAGAGAGAGAGAGAGAGAGAGGGAGAGAGAGAGAGAGAGACAGAAAGAGAGAGAGAGAGAGAGAGGGAGGGAGGGAGAAAGAGAGAGAGAGAGAGAAGAAGAAAGATATACATTTCTATATGCGCGTGTATAGAAATACGTGGGTACAAATAACGAACACGCGGTTTTCTCTCTCTCTTTCTCTCTTTCTTACTCTTTCTCTGTCTCTCTTGCTCTTTCTGCATCTCTCGAGGCTCGTTGGAGGCGCGCACCGGAGGTGAACCAGAGAAATGTTTTAAGCGAGGCACTCACGGCGCCCACGCTCGTCCGGCGCAACAGACGCGCCGACACGCGCGCGCACACGCCGGGCCCTTATTTCAACCATAAATTAATGTTCTGTCTTCTGCGGATGCATAATTGTGCGAGAGCTTGGCCGACGACTCTCCATCTCGTTCTCTCCCTTTCTTTCTCTCTCTCTCTCTCTCTCTCTCTCTCTCTCTCTCTCTCTCTCTTTCTCTATCTTTCTCTCTCTTTTCGTAGGTGAACGATGACGACGCGAAGAGGACAACGACGACGACGACGACAACGACGACGACCACGACGACGACGACGACGACGACGACGACGACGACGACGACGACGACGACGACGACGATGCTGGTGATATCCGACTTGGTGACACGTAACGAGCCTTCTAATGGCTTCGCAAACACGAGCCGCGATCTGCTCATAGGTACCATGATCGCCGCCATGAGATCCTTTCTTTTCCTTCTTCTTTTTCTTCATCTTTTTATTCTTTTCTTTTTTCCTTTTTATTTCTTCTTCTTCCTCCTTCTCGTTCACTTCTTATCGCATTCGTTCTTGATATCTCTTCGACGATAATTATTGCTTTCCTTACGTCTCTCAAGGAAGATCGTATTGTTTTCTTTTTTCTTTCTTCTCTTTTCCTTTTCCTTTTTTTTTTTTCTTTTTTCATACAGTTGTACGCTCAGTTGTTTTTCTTTCTTTTTTTTTTTTATTTGTTCGAAACGAGCGTGAACTTTTAATTGAGATTATAAATATACATATAATTAAATATGTGTTTCTGTTTTGGTTTTTGATGTTTAAAAGAGAGAAATAATTGAAATTCAATGTGAGAACGATCAGGATGTTTGCCGGGGATAAAAAGTGAAGGATTCGATTGAGTTGAATAGCTCTTCGACGCGACAGAACATTGCTTTTCGTCGTACACTCGAATAACGATCTGGATGGGACTCACGTTCTCCCATTTACATTCGACCTATTGTCTCTCTCTCTCTCTCTCTCTCTCTCTCTCTCTCTTTCTCTCTTTTTCTCTCCTTCTTCTCTTTCTCTCTCTCTCTCTCTCTTTCTTGTTCTTCATCCATATATCTCTTCTCTCTCTTTCGACTCGATAAGCAATACAGTCGAGGCCTTCGCTCTTGAACTCTCCTCGATTCGCTTTCTATGCTATTTTTATTCATGTTCTCGTCATCATCATCATTATCATCATCATCATCATCATCATCAACATCGTCGTAGTCAAACGAATATAATAATAAAACTTAATAAAAACGAAATTGTATTAAAGGACCTCGCGATATTTTAATCAATCGTTCGTATTTTTCTTTTTTTTTTTCTTTTTCTTCTTCCGTTCGGTTTCTTGATCTTCATAAACGAATTCGTTTAAATTGAGAATTTAGATGGATATTATATGCACACACATACACATACACACACATACACATACACATACACACACATATACGTACACATATCTTTTTTTTTGTTCCTGCTAGGACAGTTCTTGCTAAGAAAGGAAAAACGAGCGTACTCGTTTCATTTCATCGTCGCCTCACTTCCAATTATGCGTCAGCTCAACTCGTTTATCACTGTGGACGTCTTGTTGATCCAGAAGACGAAAGATATCGCGTTAGTAGAAATACGTACACACGCGTTGCGAATCGTAGCTTTGACTCCTTGCCTACGTTACGAGAGAGAGAGAGAGAGAGAGAGAGAGATAGAGAGAGAGAGAGAGAGAGTGAGAAGAAGAAAAAAAAGGTACGTGTTAGAGATAGGTGTATATATATATATATATATATATATATATATATATATATGTATGTATGTAGAGTACGAGAAACGATGCATACCGCGCGAGTGCACTTTCGCAGGCACCTTGTTATGCGCTCCAGCTTTTATCTCTCGCGCGTCCCGCGGTGATGAAGCCGCCCTGTCACTCACGTAACCAGGGACACGGGATTTGATTTTATCACATACGTCGGTCTTTTGCATACGCCGGCTTCTCTCTCACTATGCTCTTACACGATGCTATAGTGTGTTGTGTGGTACACGTGTGTCGCCTTCGTTTCGTTCCGCTTACCCTTTTCCTCCCTTTCCTTCTCTCTTTTTTGTTTTTTTTTTTTTTCTTTCCCCCTCATTTCCTCACAAACACGATCATATTAATCAATTCGCATCATTAGCACTAGTAAATGCGAATGTTTTGTCGTGATAATGTCATGCCGTGTGATCTTCTAACGTTGAAATTAGATGAATTATTATTCACGCATTTGACTCGTATCTTTTTTCTTTTATTTTTTCTTTCGCATTTGTATTCAAGTTTGTCGAATGATAAAAAATATATGTTGATCGTTTAGAATTGTTTTTCTTTTTTTCTTCTTCTTCTTTTTTTTCTTTCCTTTTCTTTTTCTCTAACGAAATGCGAAACTTATCACGATCCGATGGCTCGTATTTCTCTGAAAATTGAATTAAAATAGATCCTATTGGTATTCGATGATTTAGTTTTGTTGGAAAATTAATCATCGTTTATTTAATAGAAAAGCGGGAAATTACGATAAAGAATAGACAGGGATTATTCCACGAATTCGAATCCACGAATCTTCCGCGAATTGAATTCTTAACAAACCGAACACGTTGCCGACGAGTGTCACCATCAATCGAGAGAGAGAGAGAGAGAGAGGGAGAGAGAGAAAGAGAGACAGAGAAAGAAAGAAAGAAAGAGAGAGAAAGAGAGATGACCTTTGCGCGAGCGCATGGGCCGCGTTTAAAGCGTCGAATTAACGCCACGCTCGCCTTAATATCGATCTACTGCGCCGTTTTTGGTCGATCGAGGCGGTTCGATCATCACCAAGGTCGATCCAAAAGCGTCCGCATCGAATACTAGCGATATAAAATTTAACATGCATCACACGTACGATCCTCCTCGAGACCATTCGCTCGTGATCGACGTCGATCACAACGAGATATCGTTTGATCGTTAAAATATACGCGAAACGAGTTACGATCTATTACGGATTGAACTCTGTGGGAAATCTAATATATTTTCTTTTGGTTTTTTTTTTGTTTCTTTCTTGTTTTTCTTTTTTCTTTTTTTTCGTCGAATCCTAATTGTCATTAAATAAATTATATACATAACCCGTAACTGTATTAATAATTATTAACAATTACGTATATAACGTGTAACTTTATGTGCTTTATATTGATAGTTTTATCGAAAAAAAAAATATATATATATGTGTGTATATATATATATATGTATATATATATACAAATATAATTCAACTTGTGATAATAATCTTATACTTGAAATATACGTTAAAAGGATTATTGCGTTAATATAATGAATATAATATTCCGCTTCTTAGATCCTTTATTATCGAGAAGAAGAAGAAGTACGTATTAAGCAACAAGTATATAATACCTTGTCATATATATAATTATTGATCAATTTGTCCGTCTCTCCTCCCATTTTGTTTGAACAAATTGTATTTCATTCTTTTTTTTTTTTTTTTTTTTATTTCTCTTTCACTTCTTCTTTTTTCTTCTTCTCTTCGAGAATAAATACGTACAAGCGATCGTAATGATTCAGAGCGTAACAACTAGAAATTATACGATACGAAGGTGAGAAAAAACTCGTCTCGTTCGTCAGATTAATTTTTGGATACTTTCTAGAAACTTCTTTTCCCATCTTGAAATTTTTTCTTTTTTTTTTTCTTTTTCTTTTTCTCTTTTTTCTTTTTTTTTTTTTTTTTTTTTTTTTTAATATCGAATTGCTCGTATAGTTCGAAGGTGAAAGTGAAAGAAAGAAAACGCACGATTACCGTTCATATCGAATGAAGAAAAGAATAGGATAAGAGATGAAGATAATTTTATAATAAAGATTAGAGAGAGACAGAGAGGAAGAGAGAGAGAGAGAGAGAGAGAGAGAGAGAGAACGAGACAACTTGATTACAGCGTGTAGTATTTTATTAATTCGCGAATCGAAGCGCGCGACTTGACATAACGCGATTTGTCAGCGAGAAATGAATTCTTCTTCTTTCGTTTTTTTGCCTTTTTTCTTGGCATTTTCTTTTTTCTTTTCTTTCTTTTATTTATTTAATTATTTATTTATTTATTTATTTATTTATTATTTTTTTTTTATTATTATAATTCATTTCATCTTTTTACTCCAAAGTCATATTCGATTTAACATTTAACGATCGATCTCGAGGTAGCACGAGTTATCGATAGAAAAGAAAAAGTAAAATAAAGAGGTAGTAAGGAAAAAAAAAAAAAGAAAAAAAAAAGAAAAGAAAAAAAAAACAAAAGGAAGAAGAAAAAGAAAAAGGAACTGCTATCTCGGTTGTTCGTTTCTTAACGAGAGACGAGTTCAGACATACTCGAGATGAAAAAGCGCGGGATACGCGTAGCGGCAGAATTAGCAGTGATCTTTGATTCGACACGAATGGATAGAGAGTGCCATTTATGTGCGCCTAAGCAACTCCGACTGAGGAGAAGACTGAGGGACTGACTGTGAGTATCCGGGAGGAACATAGACAGACGTAGACGAGGAAAGCACGTTGACGAACTACTTCGCAGATATCATGTTGTAAATCATTGAATTATTTTATTCTATATATGAATAAGGAGAGAGAGAGAGAACGATATAATAAAAAACAAAAAAAAAACAAAAAAAAAAAACAAAAAGAAGAACAATTATTGACGAACTAAATATTTCAATTGTAATATCATGAATATCGCGAAATAAATGAAATATTACTCAACGTCTATGTCCGTAGAGAAAAGATCGTCATTTCGCCAGATAATTACGATGCCGAGATAATTTGCAATAGGCGATCTTCTCCCTCTACTCTCGAAGAAAAATACATACGTACATACATACATACATACATACATACATAGATAGATAGATAGATAGATGGATAGATAGATTCATATACATACACGAATACATAGGATACATACGCGTCTAAGCTCAGTACATTGTTTTCCAACTCGGTCAATCGAGATGTCCTTCGATCGAGAATCGAGCGAGATAGGATCGAAATCTCAGGGTCGATTCTCCCGTTCTTTTAAGAGGAGAGGATCTTTAGAAAGAGACAGATAGATAGATAGAAAAATAGATAGATAGGTAGATAGAGAGAGAGAGAGAGAGAGAGAGAGAGAGAATTTACGAACGTTCACCGATGACACCAACGTGGGGATGAGAATGCGCGGGAGGTTACTATTCACTTTTTTTTTATTTTTTATTTATATATTCTTTTTTTTATTCTTCTTCGAGAGATGACTAGATAGATAGATCGATGTTTTATTAACTGCTCTGAGACTAGCCTCTCTCTTTCTCTCTCTCCCCCCTCTTTCTCTTCTTTTTTCTTTATCTTTCTTTTTACGTCGTCGGCTTGTTTCGAAGAAGAGAAGATCGTCGTTTATACATTTACGACACTTTATCGACAGATTCACAGAGTATTATCTCGGAAAAGTACGAACGAAGGATAATTTATCGGACACTTTAAACCCTAACTCCTTTCGATCATCCTCCGGCTAATCGAACGATTCTTTATTCGACGTCATCTAACACGACAACTCGACGACAACGATCGTTCTTAACGTCGTATTCTGATAGAAGCTGGTAGTGTGATTACCACGAGAGGACTCGATTGCGTTCTCGATCGTGATCCTTAGCTGCATTAAGCAATCCCCTTCGTTTCCTATCAATAATCAGGGGGAAAAAAAAAAGAAAAAGAAAAGGACTTTGGTAAATTAATTTACGGTAAATGTCAAGCTTATTCAAAGAGAAAGAGAGAGAGAGAGAGAGAGAGAGAGAAAGAGAGAGAGAGTAAGAGAAAAATGGAGAGAGAGAGAGAGAGAGAGAGAGAGAGAGAGAGAAAGTGAGAGAAAAAGAGAGAGAAAAGTACCGAGCATATAATCACGCGTAATTAATGCACGGTAAAGCGATGATTAACGATCTATCTTCTCTCTCTCTCTCTCTCTCTCTCTCTCTCTCTCTCTCTCTCTTTCTCTCTCTTTTTCTTTTTTATTTTTCAGAAACGCATTAGAGCTTGTCCTCGCGTCGTTTTCTCAGAGAAAAAGGAACCTAATCCCTTTTAATCGTTTCGTCGAGTTCTACTCGATCTTTTAAAATTTGTCCGGCGAGAAAGAGAGAGAGAAAGAGAGAGAGAGAGAGAGAGAGAGAAATATAAAAAGGGAGAAAGAAAGAAAGAAAGAGAGAGAGAAAGAGAGAGAGAGAGAGAAAAAGATACACGTTGTTGTTGTCGTCGCGTACGAGTCTCCTCGTCATTACGAACGCTAGCGCGACGACGATGATTACGATTATTATTCCGATCGACCAATAATCACGAAGCAAACGTGCACCATGATCGTTCGGCCACGACCGCGATCGTTCGTTCGATCACGTACCAACACGCGCGACTTCTCTCTCTCTCTCTCTTTCTTTTTCTGTCTCTTTTTTTCTGGTCTTCCCCGTTGGTAAGAATGATTTTTCTAAAGAGTACGAAACCGAGAGAGTTAGAGTTGTCCTTCAGAAACGAATCATCTTTATATAAAATCATATATTCAGTGATCTCTTGCCGGTGATCATTTCGAAATAAGATTCTCTTCGAAAATTATATATAAATAACTTGTAAAGTAAGAAAAATGACGTTTAAATGTGTTTCTTGTAAAATAAGGCCGCATAGACCACATCCTGACTTCAAAAATCTATTGCAGCAATACAATTCCCACGTATTAGGGGAAACGACCTGTGTAATTAATTTTTCGAAGAGCAAAAAGAAAAAAAGGAAAAAAAATAAAGAACAAAAAATGTAAAGAAAGGAAAAGGAAAGGCAAGAAGAGAACAGGAGAAGAGGATGAAGAAGGAAAAAAAAAACAACAACACAAAAAAAAAGGATCCGCCACGCATGCAAGCGCACGCGTTAACATGTGCGCGCGCGCTCACGCATACTCATAAATATAGATAGAAGAAAAAGAAATACACATTCGTGAAATAATCTACTGCCAAATAACGTATAGGATATTACATAAGTAAAGTAAAGTTTCGTCGGACGACAAGATTAGAGGAGACGTTTCACTTCTTCCTGATATCCTTTTTTAGGATATGTAGTGGTAGTCTCTCGGAGTCCTCGTCCTTAATCGCTCGAAACTATATAGTGTTAGGTAGGTAAGTACACATATTGTACGTATAACATACACAGAGATATAACGCGTGTTATCCGCTCGGACGCACGCCGATGGGATAAGATTCTCGCGGTCGCGTCATGAGTCAGATATCCTCTAGGTTTGAGCGTGCCAGGTCAGAGGTCGGCTGCATTTGCCTCTGCCTCCCGCGCTGCCACCTCTCCCACCCTAAGCTTTCGCTAGTCCAGCATCCTCTCTGTACTTCTTCTTCTTCTTCTTCTTCTTCTTCTTCTTCTTTTACTTCTTCTTCTTCGTATAGGTAGGTATATTATACTCTGTCTCGTAGTCCTTGATATTAGAATGGTCCTGGGGAACGAGCTCTACGGTGACCGTTACGGTGCTGCACGTCCGCGTAATACATTCGAGGGAGAGAGAGAGAGAAAAAGAGTGAGAGAGAGAGAGAGAGAGAGAGAGAGAGAGAGAAAGAGAGGGAGGGAAGGAGCATCAAGACCATCGCGATCATCGGGTGACGACATCGTTTCATTATCATTCAACCTCCTTCATCTTCACGATGGAATCCAAAGACTCTTTTTTCTTTTCCTTTCTTCGTTTTCCTCCATTTTCAAGATGGTGATATATAATTTGTTAACGCGCAACACTTCTTTTCTCTCTCTCTCTCTCTCTCTCTCTCTCTCCGTGCTCTTTTTTCTATTTTTTTTTTTATTTTTTTATTTTTTTTTTTATTTTTTGTTCCTTTTTTTTCTTGCATTCGAGGATACAATAATAATAAAAAAAAAATTCGTGAACTCGTTTGTACGAAGGGAAAGTTTTGAATATGGATCGAGATCGACAAATTGATCATATCAATGAAATGCAATGATCGACGATCGTGTTACAGTATAATATACTCTCTTTCATATGCATCGAAACGTACAATTCGATCGAGAATCACGAGAACGATTTCTCGGCCGATCGTATCGACCGAATAATACTTTCTTTTTCTTCTTTCTTTCTCTCTTTCTTTCTGTATTTTTTTTCTTATTTTTTTTAACTTTTTTTTTTTTTTTCTATATGTTTTCTTTTTCTGTTACTTCCACACCAGTAGTCGTGGCTTCCTTCGTTCCCGCGTTTCTGGATCCTCCTACTCTCTTCTTTTCTCTCACCCTCGCCAACTCGCACGCGGTTTCTTTCTGATAGGATCGCACGAATACGGCCCCGGCACCTGACCCAAAATTATGCAAATGTTTGTGCGAGACGGTAGCGATCGTGAATTCGGCCTTGGATTTGCCAATGGATACCACCTACTTTACTTTTCCTTTTGAGAGCTCTCTTCTTTTCTTGTTTTCTTCTTTTTTTATATCTTGCTTTTCTTCCGTCCGTTTTTATTTATTTACCCTTTATTCTTTTTCCTTCTCTTTTTTTATTTTTTATTTTTTTTTTTTTTTATTTTTTTATTTTGATTTTGATTTCAATCTTTTTCCTTTTATTTACTAGATCCAACCAAACAAGGCACGGTCAAGGTTATCTAATTGCGAAGAAACTCAAAGCACGAAAATATACTCGTCTCGCGATCTCTGGAACGATGAATTATCGAGCCGTCTCGATGCGTTCTCCGATCGATCGTTTCCTCCTTCGATCGATTCTCTCGTGGATGGAATACAAAGAAAGAAAAGGAAAAAAAATAAAGAAAGAAAAAGAAAACGAAATAAAAAAGTGTTAGAAGACGATGGTAATAACGATTATTCGAAACGTAACTCTCGAAAAGTCTATTATTCATCTAACGATTAATTTATACGGGGAAAATGGTTTATAATTAATTAAGTGGTTAATAATTATCGATGTGCGAACGAAGTATTTCAAGGTTTCTTTCAGAAAAAAAAAAAAAAAAAAAAAGAAAAAACGTATATATATATATATATATATATATATATATATATATATATATTATCTTTATTATCTATATCTTTAATATATTTATAAATATTCAATAAAAAGGAAGAAAAAAAAGTAATATATATACGATCAAAAAAGATTTCGTAGATCGAATAGAAAGATCGATCGACAGGCTTCTACTTGCGTCGAGTTCGCATTAAAAATCTCGCCTTACTCTCTCGGTTTACCGTGAGACGATAATTATTCATCGTGGCCTTTACCATCTTCCCTACTTACTCCTAGAAACTGACGTACTCGTTGCGTCACGAATAAAAATAAGAGTAGGATATTGCCGGACGACGAGTCAAAGTGTATTTTCTCTATCGTCCTCTCAAAGATTATCTACGTAATACTAATCGACACTTCTACACATATATCCCATCGAGAACATTTTCATATTACAATTTTGTCTTCTTTTTCTTTGTTTCCTTTCTATTTTTCTTTTTTTACCTGGGTTAATTTAATGACGATAGAAGTGACATTAACATATTAAAATTACACTAATGATTGTTCTAATACAGCGATATTAATTACAATTATCATTATCATCATCATCATCATCATTATTATTATTATTATTAATTACGTTGAGTGATCTTCATTATTCATCAAATGAAATTTCTCTCATTCTCGGAAATGAAATGTTTTCAACATTTGTTTCTAGAAAAACCGCAGATACTCTATATGTCTATATATATATATATATATATATATATATATATATATATATACATATATGTATAATATATATATATATGTATTATATATATATATTTATATACACAGGATGATTGCTTCGACCTCGAGAGACGGATGAAGATTATAAATACTCCGTGCTTAAGTACAACGCCGAGCGACTAGCGTGAAAATTGAGAGGAACATTGCTCTTCTCTTAAAAAGTGTCGATTTAAATTCACAGAAAAGTATCTCATGTTGTATTCTCGAGAGAAGAAAGAAGCAAATATGTAAGACGTATATATACGTATCTACGTAAATATGTAGAAGAAGAGGAATGAAGCGTCAGAGTTCAGAGGCTACACACGTAGATACGTACGTATGAACGTTACGTTCACGGCATCGCGTGAGCGTAATTTCGAAAATCTGTAATACCCGTAGTTCCTCGAGAATAAAGCAAAGAACTCGTGTATGTATGTATGTAGGTATGTACCTACGCGAGGCCTGAAGCGTTCCGAAGAGAACCGTGGGGAATCGAAGCTGAGTTGAGTCGAACCGCAAACAGGAAGGAAACATTTCTAGTTTCACAATTTTGTGAAAAAAAAAAAAAAAAGAAGGAAAGAAAAAACAAGTAGAAACGACTGTTGATATTCTAAAAAAAAAAAAGGAGAAACAAAAGCAGAAAAATAAGTTCACGATTATCATCGCGAAATATTTCTTCGTTTAACTTTCACATAGATGCCTGCCTGTGTGCGTATATGTCATTCGTTTGACGATGAATTTTACGAGAATAAAAATAGAAATAATTGTTGATATTTTAGAAGAGAAAAAAAAGATCATTCATATTCTAAAAGAAAATAAATTCACAATGAAAATTCTAACATTGTTTTCGATCTTCATTAACGCGTAGATGAGTTACGTGTAAAAGAAAAAAAAAGAAAAAAAAAAGAAATAGAAAAGAATTGTTGATACGTATTTAAAAAAAAAATTAAATTCGATTACGAGGTAGGATTGTGAAATTTTTCAAAAACAAAAAGAAAAAAAAAGAAAAAAAAAAAAAGAGAGAAGAAAATACAGTCGATTAGTAGGACTTTCCATAGTGAACGAACGATGATTAAGAATCGAAGTAAATTACTTGCTTACTCGATTTCATTTCTAATCACGATTAACAGGATGGATTCTCTTTTCTTTCTTATTCTTTTAGAGACCACAACTCGTACCAGGTTCTCGTCTATTAATACGTAATTACTAATTACCGGACGAACAATGTAATTACACGATGTGCTCACATAAACTCGTTGCACGAGTGACGCTTCCTCCGTTATCTATCTTTTTTTTTTCTTTTTCTTCTTCTTTTCTCCTTTTTCTTCTAAAGCTTCTCATTAAAACGTAAACGAAATTTTAGGATCGATCGATCGACCGATCGACCGACCGACCGACCGATCGACCGACCGATCGACCGACCAACCGATCGATCGATCGATCTGTTGGCGATCTTTTCCCTTTCCTGTTCTCAGAGTAGTACAGTGTATACCGGTTTTTCGAGGGCGTCGAATCCCTCGATCGGCACTTTTGACATTGACGTGAATCAATAATCTCGCTAGGTGGATTATTCGGGCTGCGAGAACGAGCACGATGGAATGGGTGATTTAATAATAAATGGCCTACCTGCTCCCTCGCTCGTAATCGATCTTGTCGAAGAAGATCGATCGAGTGCAGTCTTTTGCTCTCTCTCTCTCTCTCTCTCTCTCTGTTTTTTCTTTTTTTTTCTTTCTTCTTTCTTTCTCTCTAGAACTCTTGTCGAGACTTCGAAGTCCATTGTTTAGCGCTGAGGACGAGGTTCAAGGCTTCTGCGATTCTCAACTACTCATTTCAATTTTTATTACGGCATCTTAAGTCATCCAAAACAAAGTATTTATATTTTCAAATGAAATTCTAATGGATGATCAAAGGTACTTTTTCTTTTCTTTTTTTTTTGTCATAATAATGTTTTAATTTTTTTTTTTTATAATAATGTGATAATATTTATAATAATAACAATAATAATAATGATATTGAAAACGTAGATGCATGAACCTTTTTTTTCTCTCGCTTTTTTTTTTTTTTTTTTTTTTTTTTTTTTTTGTAGATGAATACCTCACTAATCTCTAGACACTTCTATATACAGATACGTTTTTATACGTTTTAATAAGTACATATAAATACATGGTTTTTCGATTTAAGAGATTTTTTTTCTCCCAACCGGATATCTCGAAGAAACATTGTTGAATGGTAAATCAGATCGAGCAAAAAATCTAGATCACGATGCTTCGTGACCATGAAATCTCCGCATAACGATTATCCGACTATTGGTACAAAAAAAAAATCTTGATATCTTTAATGTTTCTTCTGAGAGGTAACGATGCGATTGTAAATTAAAAGGAAAGAAAAAGGAATAAAAAAAGAAAAGAAAAAAAAAAGAAAACGTAGGAGAACGAAATCATTATTATATATTATTTTCACGAAGGAGAATAGCAAAAAATTTCGAATGCCATTCCTTCGGCCAGTTAAAATATTTTAATATCCCTTTAATATTTTTTTTTAGCGTGATTAAACTTATTTAAATTCTGTGTATTATTTTTTTTTCTTTTTTTTTTTTGTTTCTTTTTCTTTCTTTTAATCGCAGCAACGATTAAATTATCGTTAACAATATATCTGGTAATTACGTGTTAAAGGATCGATTTGTCGATCTCTTAATACGATTTCGTTTTTATCTAATCGAATGTCAAGGTTGCTTTACTCTATCATTTATGTATTAAAAAAAAAAAAAAAAAAAAGAAGAAAAGGAAAGGAAAACGAGACACGTGGAAAGACTCCGAGAGAATATCTCACGAATATGTCCGGTGATCTTATTCGAGCGCATTAATTAGAGAGCATGACTCGTGTGCTTGCTACCGAGCGAACTGTTTCCACTCATCGTCGGTCGCGCTCTTGATACGTCACTCGTCGACTAAATAGCGTTCAAGAGACTACGATCGACCGACAAGATTGCGCAATCGTTTCCTCGTTCGAGCATTCGAAGAGAAGAAGAAGAAGAAGAAGAAGAAGAAGAAGAAGAAGAAGAAGAAGAAGAAGAAGAAGAAGGAGACGTAATTACTCGCTGAGTGAGATGTAAAATTAGGATCTCTTCTTTCGAACGATAACGATCGCGTGTTTAGAGAACGATGTGAAGTAAATGTTTGAAATCTAAATTTTTCTTAAAATTTTTTTTACTATTACTATTTCGTAAAAGAAGATCATTTTAAATTGATATATTAAGAGTTTAAACATTTTCGAATAATCTATTTTTTTTTTTTTTTTTGTAGACTCTTTACTTTCCCATGACGTGGAAAAAGTATGCAGTTAGAAGGAAATTATCAAAGTTATTGGTTTTGCTTTTTGTTAGATAAATATTTAAAATCTATACTTTCTTAAGACTTTTTTACTACTTCATAAAACAAGATAATTTTTTATTTGTTTATTAAGAAGAGGATTTGGTATTTTTATAAAAGTCGATTTTTATTCTCTTCTTTCGATGTGTGAAAAATATACGGTGTAAAAGGAAATTTTCAAATTCTTTAAATTATCAAAATTACACGCTTTTAATTAGCAACTATCGCATGTCTGTTTTTCTATGTAATCTTTAACGACAATAAGACCTTCAAAACGTACTTATCATATCGTGTATATTCTCTTAGAAAAAAAAAAAGAAAAGAAAGAAAAAGAAAAAGATTTCCCATAAATAAACTTCTTCCTAGAATTTATCTTTAGAATGGAATTTCTCATTAAGAAAAGAAAAAAAAAAAAAAAAGAAAAATCGTCTGTTCTAATTCACGTTCGAGTTATGAATCTATTATCGTTTCATAGAATCGATGATCGATGATAGAGTATATCGATCTTTTTTCATTACGAAAAATAAAGCAACAACATTTAAAAGACACATAACTATGAACATTAACGATTGGTCCCGAAGCGAGTAATCGAAAATAATGAGAAAGAGCTTTGATCGAACGCGACACTTGAGCCACAAGTTATTACAGAGAGTAAATAATAATAGAAAAGTGTTATGGTCTTTCTCTCTCTCTCTCTCT